CTCTCATGGTGTGACCCAGTCCTCCTGGAGCCCAGTTGGAGACCCAGGCTGGACGGATGCTCCCTGGTCATCAGCATAGGCCAGCGTGTTCCCTGGCCTAAGGGCCATCAGTACCATGTCCCTTCTTGCTCTGTTCTGGGATTGGGGTCAGTGTGCTCCAGTGTCCAGGTTGATGCTTCTGGAAGGTTCTATTAGCACCCTTTGAGAGGGCTCAGGGGAAGCTATGCCCATAGCTGCCCCCTGTGGAATAATCCCTTTGTGCAAAACCAGAGTCTTCACACTGGGGCGGGAGGGCCCTGCTTCCTAAAGCAAGGATTAGGCCATTGCTGTGTGCGCAATAAGGAGAAGAGGTCCAGAAGGGTGCCCCTGGGAGTCTGAAGGTCCTCCTGCATGGACCCAGTTTGCCAAGGAGAAGGGCAGAGCGGGCTTCACCTTTCAGGAGCCAGCCTGGACCACTGGGCGTTCACACACTGCTGGATTCACTGGCCCTCAGAGTGCAGGAAGACTCGGTGCTGAGAGCTGGGTTCCCTGAGATAATAACGGTTGGCTCTGTTGCTGCTCAGACTTCCTGGTCACGCTGTGGCCCCTGAGCCCCCTGAGGACTGTCAGCAGAGGCACGCCCATGGCCTCTCTGCTCCTGGTCCCACCCTCCAGGTGACACTTTCTTCCTTGGCCCAGTTCCAGGACCCTGTGTCCGCTGCCTCTCCTGCTCACGGCTCCCCCCGGGGCGTGACCTCCTCCCTGTCTCCAGGCTCCCTCCCACCGCCTCTCCTGGGCAGGCCTCCCCAGGTTGGGCTCCAGGGAGGCCCTGGGTGTGTGGGCTGCAGCTCAGGCTTCTGCACCAGGYGCAGAGGCTGTCCCAGGCTTGCAGCGTAGGTCACAGCCGTCCATACCCGGAGACCTGTGCTCTGTCCCTGAGTTCTCCAGAGGAAGAGGGAACAGGAGGGAGGGAGGAGGCGGAGGTCTGCCCCTGACAACAGCCCTGCACCTCGCCCTCCAGCCCCACCCCTCGGCACCCAGGGCTGCCTGCCCCGGCCGAGCTGCGGAGCAGGGAGGGGCCGGGGCACCCGGGGCCGGGGCACCCGTGCCTGGCAGTTGAGGTGGTAGAGCCCGGGGATGTAGGGAGGGACAGGATTAGAGAATCAAGCCGCCTGGGGGCCATTCCCCTGACCTCGGCCCTCTGCCCAGTGGTGTCAGGGACCTTTGAACATGGCCTGGATCCTTGAAGGCTGAGCGGCCCCAAGGGGAACCACCCGGGGCCATGGGCACCAGGACCCTAGAGCCAGTATGTGGAGGAAGGAAAATGGACACTGGCTTTCCATGTGTCCCAGGAAACTGGGCCAAAGTCCCCAGGGAAAACCCTGGCTCCTTCCGGCCTGGGGGCAGAGACACCCTCCCTCCAACCACCCTGGCAGAGCATCTGCAGACGGAGTGGCCTCTAACCTGACCTGACAGAGCAAGCGGGCAGCAGCAAGGCCACAGGCGCCAGCGTCCAGCTGCCCCTGTGTCAGATGAGCAGGCCAGGCCTCATGCAGGTGGGCGGCAGGTCCACCCCGGGATCAGGCACAGGGGCAGCATGGCAGCTCTCCAGCGGAGTGGGAGCCGGGCTCCCCCTCCCATGACCACCTCCCCTGGCTGAGTCACCTGCACACGATTAACTATGCAATTATCCAGGCTGAGCTGCGGAGAGCAGCCCTCAGATTGTCCAGGTGGGCTGCGGGACACGAGCGTCTCGCGCTGCTGTGGGAAACATGCCTTTCTCTCTCCCAGAGCCCGGTGGTGGCGGCGGTCACCTCTGGGCCAGCCGGGCTTGGGCATGTCTTCTCATTTTCCAAGCCCAACCTGCCAGTTCCGAGGCACCCACCACATGAGCCCCTGGGTCAGGAGGTCAGTGGACTGCACAAGGTGGCAGCAGGGGCCTCAGAGGCTGCTCTCTAGGAGCACGGGGGTCCCTGGTGCCGGTGTGAGGTCAGGGCCAGGGAGGGGGAGCGGAGGGGACCTGTGTGCCCTGGTCTTGGCCATGCTGTCCTGCCGAGCACAGTGCGCCCTGCATGGAGCAACCAGAGAGGTGCACAGAGCCCAGGAGAGACCATCAGTGCTGCAGGCCTGGTGCAGGGGAGGCTGAAGTCCGGGTCTTGTGCAGGGGGTTTTGGGTCTTTTAAATGGATTCTTGTCCCAAAGATGCTTAAAGTTAGACTATAGGAGAGGAGAGGAGGAGGAATGGATTTAAGTTAGATCTCAGAGAGAACTTCCAAGAGCAAGGTTTCGAGTATTTGAATTCTTGAGAAATCAAGAACGCTTTCTAGAAACTGTCTCCTTCCTCAGCTCCCACTGCCACTGCCCACGTCAGCCACCACCATGACACTGTGGGCCACAACGTGGGCTGACTGTCTTGTAAGAATCGGAGCATCATGCCCCTTCCTGTCCGTTTGCAGGGTTTTTATGCTGTCCATCCCATAGACACTTCCTGGGCGCCTCTTCTGAGCCACGCACTCCCTGGGGATACCCCCAAGTGAACAGAGACGCGTCCTGGTCCCTCAGTGCTCCCCACCCAGCAGGGGCCAGGTGCACAAATGGACGTCCATAGCCAGTGACCCATTCTTGTGCAGTTTCACTCTTTCTGCTTCCTGTCCAGACTAGACTAACAGAAAGTGCCACTAGGTGCCCAGGTGTCCTCTCCTTTGYCATGGTGGGGCTGGGCGGCAGCCCACAGTGAGAAAGTGGCAGGAGCGGAAGGCAGGCTGCAAGCTCTGCAGAGCTTTTATATTTATTATCTCACTGAGTCGCCGATTCTTCCAAATGCAACTAGAGCTCCGAATATGTTAATGGCAGGGTCAAGGCGGTGGGCACCTGGGCATTCTCCCTAAAATTCCTTCAGTTTTGCTGTGTATTTGAGAAAGCTTCACAATAAAATATTAAGAAAGAAGAAAAGCACAGCTAGACTCCCAGGGCTTCTTCACTAGGACAAACTTGGGAACCTCACAGAGCCTTGGCGCGCCAGGGCCTTAGTCCCCTTGGCTGGGTGGCCCTGCCACTGTCCACCCAAGTCCCACAAATGTGCCGACACTGGTCTCACGAGGATGCCAGGTGGCCGGGGAGCTCCTGCCACATGCCGCGGAGCTTCTCAGTACAGTGGGGCAGGTCCTTCCCTCCAGCCAGCCGTTTCCTGGTTGAATGATAGTTTGGGCTTTCTGGAATCTTCCCTCCAAGTCCTTCTACTTCCAGGTCAGCAAAACGACTGGCCCTGTGTGTCTGACTTCTCAGGCTTATAAACTGCTTTCCCTTCAGCGACTCCCCGCAATTACTTTGTTTAAAGGCTGCAATTAAGACAGGGAACTGCTGTTGGGGCCCAGAGGCACCTCCAGCTCTTATTAGCTGGGCCCTGACTGCGATTTCTTTGTAAGAATAATGGATACTTATTGGTCCATCCGGTGACCAACATGGAGTGTGAGATGAAATGGGAAGAGTTAGGGCTGGGTGTGATGTACACAGCTGTCTACCGGGTCTCTCATGGGTGATTAAGAAATGGAAATCAGGGGCCGGGGTGGGGGCTCTGTGCCAGAGCACTCACCTACCACGTGTGAGGCCCTGGGTTCGATCCTCAGCACCACATAGAAATAAATGAATAAAATAAGGGCATTGAGTCCAGCTACAACTAAAAAGGACACACACACACACACACACACACACACACACACACGTAAATGGAAATCAGGACTGAAAATACGCAGGCTTCTGGAGCCAGTTCATGTGACTTCACAGCCACTGGCACCCATCACGGGATCTCACACTGTGTGCAGCACTTTACAGTCGGCAAGCCCTCTTGAGCTCATGATCTTTAGCCCTGGTCTAGGGATTGCTGCATCTGCTTAAAGATGCAGAAATGAAGGCTTGGAAGATGAGAGGGATGCCCTGCTGGCCCTGACAGAGCTGAGGTTGGGTCCAGACTGACTCTGGATCAGGAAGGGTCAGCACTGTCCCTTCCTCTCCACTCTCAGACCTGGCAGCTCCAAGCCCCGCCCCCTAAGCAGCCCCTCAGGGAAGGCCCTGATTGGCCATCTTAAGTCACATGCTCATTTGGGAGCCAATCAATGTCAGGAGGCTTGGCTCTGCTCACCAATGGCAGGTCCCATGCTATCTAATGCCAAGAGCCCTATGGAGGTGCCCTTTCCTGGAAGTTGACAGGAATTCTGTGCCCCTGGCCCAGTCCAAGTCCCAGTCAGACCTCTGGAAGAACGCTCCAGAAATCCTTTGTTGAGCCTGGCCCCAAGCTGCCTGGCCCTGCAGATGACTCCCTAGCTGCAGGTGGCTGTTGGGCTCCACCTGCCCTCTCTTCTGCCCCAAGTCCTGAGGATTCCATTCCTGGGATCAGCCCCAGGCTGTGCTCCCCTGCCAAGACCTGACTCCTTGGCCTGGAGAGCTGCTGAATCCCCCTGTGCTGACCCTGTCACTGGACATGGCTCCCTGGTCTGCCCAGCCCCACACGGCCTTCCCCAGGCCTGGCCTGGCCTGACAGTGTTCACACAGTGACTTCGAAACACTTGGTGGTCCCCGAGGAGGCTGGACTCGCGTCCCTGAGGGTCGGAGAGGCCTGAATAGGCCTTCTGCCACACCAGCCGCCCCCGGAGACCTGCTGGGGCCACGCTGCATGTGAGGTCCAGATCTCAGCCAGGGCCAGGGCCCAGGCTGCCGAGAACGAGAAGGTGTCCTGAGGGTGAAGGGGGTCTGTGCCTGAGAGGAGGGGGAAAGGACTCTTGGGGGGACAGTCCCTGTCCTTTTGCTGCTGAAGGACCCCTGAGCTAGCAGGAGCCCCCTCTTCCTTCTTCTTTTTTTAGCTATCGATGGACACAATATCTTTATTTATTTTTGTATGTGGTGCTGAGAATCGAACCCAGTGCCTCACACATGCTAGGCCAGCGCTCTACCACTGAGCCACAGCCCAGACCAGGAGCCCCGTTCTGGAGAGAGTTCCATACACAGGCCATCAGGAGGATCACAAAGCTGTTTATTTCCCACCTGTGAGAAAGGATGCAGGGTACAGAGAAACCCAGCCAGTCCCCAGGCGACCACATCGGGGCCACACCAAACACCACAGCCTGTGTCTTTACCAAGAGATCCCCTTGTTTCAACAGGACTGCAGTTGACCTAAGTGTCCCCACGGCGTTCTTTCAGGCTGCTTCTGGGGAGAAATGATTGTACATTTATGTGCTATTCTTCAGCAGCCATGAACTTAGAACACAGAAGCTGATGGGTGTCAAAGGACCAAAATGTCAAATTTCATGTAATTGGGCCTTCTCTTGGATTTTGGACTGGCTGCCCCTTTGAAAGATGTCTTTCCTCAGTTCTTACCAAGGCCCAGTCCACAGGCAGAGAAAGGCACAAAATCTAACCTTGCATTAAAAACATCAGCAAGGTCTTCAGCCAAACAGCTGAGCAATTACACTCATTATTTAAACACCAGAGTACATCAGATGGGCTTATTCACCTGGCTCAGCAAAATACATATTGGCCTAATGCTACAAACCAACACATAACATTTAAAAATGCCTTCGGGGTCAGACAGGCACAGAGGTCACTGCAGCAGCGATTTGGGCTGCAGGTGCACCCTCGGCTGCCCTGCGGACCAGCCCTCAGAACCAGTACTCAGAGACAAAGATGTGGACGTTGACGACATTTCGGTGGGAGACCACACCCCCGACCACGTAGTTCATCTCCAGCTTCAGGACGGCATGAAACGGGCCCACGATGGGCCGCACCTGGCGCACGACACCTGAGGAGAGAGCAAAGGTGTGCTGGAAGTTACCGTGGACGGCGGCAAGGAGAAGGTGTAGGAGGCTTTCCCTGGAGCAGTGTCAGGGCGGAAGAGACCCAGGCCTCATCGCCCCAGCCTGAGCCAGGCCCCCAAGTCCCCCGACAGCATTATCTTCCAAGTCTGGTTCTGCTTCCCCTTCAGGGGCCCGGATGTGGACTCCCTACTTCCTGTATCACACGTGGCTGGGACAATGAGAGTGTGGGCCTTGCAGGCCGGGGGCTCTGGGGTCAGTGCCACTCCTGCCTTCTTGGAGCCTGGGTTTCTGCTTTACCACCATCTACCAGACAGGGTCTAAAGGAACTGAGAAAAAGGGCTGGCATGGAGTCGACGCCTGGTAGGCCCTGTCCCTCTCCTCCTGAGTCCCATGCCCAGTTATGACCCAGGGAGAAAAGCAGCAGAGGCTCTTCCCTGTGTGACTAGAGGATCACAGGGCCCTGGATTCCCCTCTTCCCAGTGGAGCAGCCCTGACTCCCGGGATGTGCCTGCAAGATCCAAGTGCCCCAGTCATGTCCCCGAGCATCAGCTGCAGGAGTGCAGAGCCCAGCTCCTGCAGACCGGAGGGCTCCTCAATTCGCCTTATGCACCGCGTGCCTTCCTCACAGCGCCCCAGAGACAACTAACAGCCCTGCTTCCAAAACTGGTGGGGGATCTAGGATTGAAAATGGGGAGTGCTGTGTTCCTGCAGGAGTCTGTGCAGGTCCAACAGGGGTGAGGAGGAGGTGAGGAAGGCTGGGAACCAGGACAGGTTGCCGGAGGAGAGCCCTTCCTGTAGAGGAAGCCCAGGAGCCACACCTGCAGGCCTGGGGCAGAGCGTGCAGGGCTGCGGATGGCCTCTAGAGTTCCTACTCCACCCCACACCTTCCGGCATTAACTGCTGAGGAGCTGGTTCTCTGCTTGAACCACCTGCCAACTTCCATGGCTGATGGCAAGATTCCAACACAACGTCACTTCAATGGAGATGGGGAGAGACGTCTGTTAGCAGAGCTCCTGAGCCAGTGCCGTACCACATGGCAGCCTCATGGCCGTACCAACTCTGACCCCAGGCTGGCTTCCGCAACCCAGGCGGCCACAGTCTCAGGAAGTGCAGGGGACAGCCTGCATCAGGCAGCAGAGGCCTGGGAGGACTGAGGGTCATGAAGGCCCCCTGCACCTGCAGCAGGTCCATGTCAAGAACGTCAAGTTCATGCTCCGAAGGAGAATCTGGGCACACTTCACAGTGCATTGCCCAGCCGTCAGGGGGGAACCCCAGGCTGCTCCCCAACAGACCTGGGCACTAGTTCCAGGGAAGAGCAGCCCAGGCCTCTGCAGGCTGACAGCAACCTCTCCCCACCCTCGACCCTCCCCGTGATGAGGCAGGTTTGTCATGAACATCTTCAGCTCCAGGGAAGGGGCGTGGCTTGTGGCCACTCGGTTGCCCTGGGTCTGAGGACAAGGGCACTCGAGTCCATCCCTCCCTGGGCTGGGCCAGCCTGTCAGGGTCAGGGTGGGCTCACTCATGCCCCCGTCGCTCCACCATCACCTTTTCGTCTCCCAGGCCAGAGGCTGACAATGGCACCCACCAGCCACAGCACCCTGGGCCCCCTACGGACCTCACCTGTCTGGGCACAGTGGGGGGCGGGGGGGTCCTTACTGCCCTTCCTGGCACTCAGAGAACGTGGCTCCAAGGAGAGAGTCAAGTGGCTGCGAAGCACCCCAGGGCAGAGGAAAGGCACCGCCACGGCAGCTGCCCGTCCACTCTGACTTCCACGTGTTAATGAACAATAAGAACGTGCAATTATTCAGCTGGGCACGGTGGCCCCCGCCTGAGATCCGATCAACTCAGGAGGCTGAGGCAGGAGGATTGTGAGTTCCAAGACAGCCTCAGCAACTTAGCGAGGCTCTTAGCAACTCAGCAAAACCCTGTCTTTAAAATATAGGTTATTTAAAATATATAAATATATATAGTTAATATATAAATGTCACAACTTTTTATATAAAATAATTAATAAATTTGCATGGAATTATATGTAAAATATATTTTGTGGGCTTTTTTTTTGTTTTATTTTTGTTTTGGTATCAGGGATTGAACCCAGGGGTGCTTTATCACTGAGCTACTTCCCCAGCCCTTTCAGTTTGTAAAATATGACTTTGATATAAAATATTTATAGACTATGTAACTAAATATTTGCGTTGAAACATGTAGACAATATAAACATTCTAAAATCCTGAATAATGAGCCTCGCTGTTATATTTACATGTTTACCTATTTCAGTTTACGTCTGTTTGTATCTGAGCTGTCCTGGCTGCATGTGGGACCTTTAACAACAGAACCCACAGTTCAGACAGCCCGCACGTGACGGGGCCGGGTGCTCAGCTAAGTGAGCAGGTAGAGCCCGGCGGGTGGCGCTCCTCTGTGATCCCAGTTACTTGGGAGGCTGAGGCAAGAGGATTGCAAGTTCAGGACCAGCCTGAGCGACTCAGTGAGGCTCTGACTCAGGCACACGGCAGGAGTTCAGCCATGAATGTCGAATGAGATTAAATGAGAAGAAAGAAGGAAAGAGAGAGGGGAGAGCCAGTCTGCAGAGCCTCCTTGGTCTAGGAAGATAACGTGGTCCTGAGGGGGTCAACAGAGCTCTCTCTGGGTGAGGTATGATTTGGGATTGGCCACTCTAGCAATAAAATGCAGGACAGAGGGGCAGCTCCGCCACGCCTGGCTTGCCCGTGCCACCTGTTCACCTGCCCAAAGGCTCAGGGGGAAAAAGGAAACAAGGACGTGGTGCTGAGTTCCACCTGGTTGACCTTCCGAACGCGCGTCCTTGGCATTTCTGCTCCGGGTCTGGCGCTGCTGGTGTTCCTCGGGTGTCTGTGCCGCCTCGAGATGTAATTAAGTCTTCCCCAGGAGAAAAACGTAGGCCCCCTCGGGCATTTCACCCTGGTGTCTTGGCCCTGCTTTGTAAATTCAGCTGACGCCCTGGGATCCGGGATCCTGAATACACAGCACAGGTCCAGAGAGGAGAATGTCATTGCGTCTTGGGGTCCGTGGCCACATCTGTGGCCCCCGAAGCCATCTCCCAGTTTCTGCCACTTGAAGCTGTATTTGCTGTCCATCAACCGTGTTGAAATGATAAAGATGAGCCTCGGGGCTCTCGGCACCATCCCCACCCCTGACTCCCTCAAGACACGGATCTATAAAGAAACCTAGAGCCGGCTCTCGGTGGTTCCAGGCTGGCCAGCTGAGTGGCCTCCTGCAGGCACCATCCGTGCTGAAGTCCAGCCTCCAATGCAGGACTCTGCGATTCTACCCAGTGTGGTGGAGAGTGCAGGATTGCCAGAAGCACTTTAACAAATGAGATGACAAATCGAGACACTGCATGAGCTCTCATGCCAAGGGAAGGTACCTGTCTTCCAAAGGCAAGTGGCTGACTTTGAAGGCCGCATGTCAACGCTGCACAAAGAAAAAGAAGCTGTTCCCACTGAGATCAGACTAGGGAGTCCTCTGTCTCCTCGGTCAAGGTATTCCACCACCAGGTGAGGCTGGGCCACGGGCACTGCTTTTCTTGGCCACTCCTGTGTCCCTGGTTCTTAGAACATGGCATGCTCTGCCTGATGCACTCCAAAAATGGTTGTTGAAAGAATGGATGGACTCAAAATTCACATTAAGCACCACTTATAAAAGTACCACCCACAAATGAAAGTATTGGGAAGTAATGACCAACGGCCGAAGTCACCGAGATTTCAGTTGCTGCCCACCTGGAGGGAGATAGCAACAAAGAGAGCCAGTCCTCACCGTCCAGCCTTGGTGCCAACGTGCGCTGCCAGCCACGGGCAGGGTGGAAGGAGGTGTGGGAGGAGGGGCTGGAACAGAGTGCCAGGAGCTCAGAGGACACCTGTGAAGTCTTGCTTGCACACACAGAGGGCGCTGGAAAGCAGTCACCAGGTCTCAGAAAACTTCCCTGGATGGGAGTCACTGTCCCTGGAGGCTGAGACTGATACGCAAGGGGGAGAACAGAAAGGACTGCCGTGAGCAGAGGGTGCCTCATTGGAACCGGTGGGGGCAGAAGGCTTTGGATTCTGAAAGTTTCTGTCCCCATGGTGCGGTATCTTGGGGACGGCTCCCATGTCTGACCACGAAACTCTTCTGTGTTCCACACACAACCCTCACCCATGGCCTGACGGTCACCTACTCAATGCTCCTATAATTTTGTGCAAGAAGCAAAGTTTGAAGGTGTGGGATTTCCCCCAAGGAGGTGTGTCAGCATCTGACTGTAGGGTTTTGGAGCAGCGGGGTGAGGGTCTGGGTCAGGGGTACTCGGCTTGGACCTGCAGAGCAACAGACCAGAGCGCGGCTGGGCTGGGAAGCAGGCTGCGCCTCGGGGGGCAGAGGAAGTGAGGAAGTGCACGGAGCCTGCGGCCCACGGCCTCTTCCATCCTCCGCCGGGCTCTGGAGACCCCATTGCCTGTCCCAGATTCCAAGCTAAGGGCCGTGGAGTCCAGTCCAGTGGGGCGGTCCCCAGAACCCAGCTCCTCCCAACCCACGGCCTGTCCCCACGTCACCCTGTGATGTGACCCTCAGGGTGCTTTCAGAACACACCGCCCTGAGTCTCGAATGTGTGGCAAATGTAGCAGAAAGGAATTGTGCTTTCTAGAGTCACCACCCACTCAGGGCGCTCGGAGTTGGTGGTGCACGGAGGGGAGGTGCCCAGGGCTTCCCAAACCCTGCCCTCTCTGCACCCCGAGAAAGGGCGCAATGGCCCAGAGGAAGGTTGGGTGTCCCTTCTGCATATTTATACACCAACTGTCACCCAGTGTGCCCCAGGGAAGCCCATCCCATAGGCCACAGGGTTAGGAACGTGCCCCCCCACTCTGTGGAGGGGTCAGCCACCCCGCGACTAAATAAAGCAGGGCAGCCCAGGGGGCGCCTCCCCTCCCACTTCCTGTGGGAACTGGGCTTCCACGCCTGTGGCCACGCGGCCCACCCG